AACAGTCTCCCTAGTCGCCCACTCAATTTGATAGTTAAGATCTTTTTTCTATCGGTTGTTATTCCTAGTTTTCATCTATGATTTTTTGCTGAAAATGCTAGATTTATGCTATTAATGCTATTATTTATTGGCGAAATTCTTTACCATGCTATTGAAATAATTCTTTTTGACGTAGATTATAGTTTGGCGGCCGAGAAATGGTAACCGTTGAATATCTGGAAAAAGTGATCCCCCAAAGCATTAAAACAGCAAAATGACATGAAACAGACTCGGTTTGATTGAGTCTGTACATGAGGGATAATGAAAAATGCACGATCACTCATAACAACACTGAAGTGAAGTACGGGGCAACGTTTTACGGATGCCACATATCACTTGACACCTGCTGTTGTGAAGTATAAAGATCTGGAAAAATGGTATTCCCTCGGAAGCATTAATCACAACAAAATTTCATGAAAATTGAAGACTTGCTTTGATTGAGTCGGTACATGAGGGATAATGAAAAGTGTGCAACATCCCTTACGCCTGATAAAACCGGCTTGACCGGTACTAAATTTTCAAAACTTAAAAGTGCTGGAATCAATGATTTCGAAGGACTAGAAAAATATAACAACACAAAAGTGAAGTACGAAGCAACATTTTTAAGTTTATTTTATTGTATAAAGCAAATGCATGTATATTTCTAGTACATCACGTATACTTTCATATAGAATGGCTACAAGGGAAATGCCATTATAAGCTTAGCTTACAGTCAATAATTCATGATTATTTGTACATGTATTTGCATTCGTGCGTTTGAATTCATTTGAAATCAACTTTATATAGACTATACAGTTGGTGTGTATGTGTGTTTTTAATCGTAGTTAAAATTGTAGAGTGAATTTTCCCCTGTTGACAGGACATGCCGAACTAATGAATTAGCAATGGTATTTAATTGGTGATAATAAAAAAAATCGTATACTTTGTAAGTCATCATTGTCGAGTCTTGATAGATACATTTCAGAAAAGCTCCACTTTAGCGGCGTTACCTGTTGATATTGTTTTAGTGCTACAAAATGTTTGAATTCGAAATGAAAGAACATTTGAGCCGTGTCACGACAAAACCAACATAGTGCGTTTGCGACCAGCATAAATCCAGACCAGCCTGCGCATCCGCGCAGTCTGATCAGGATACATGTTGTTCGCTATCTGTTTCTCTACATGTAATAGTGTTTGTAAGCGAACAGCATGGATCCCGATCAGACTGCGCGGATGCGCAGGCTGGTCTGGATTCATGCTGGTCGCAAACCCATTATGTTGGTTTTGTCGTGACGCGGCTCATTTAATAGGCTACTTTCTATTCTCTTTATAGGAAATGTGTAAAATAATGGGAGGACAGCTTGTTGAAATTGAGAGTGCAGCCGAAAATGATTACATCGTATTACAAGCAAAACCCGACCGTAAGTTTTTTTCACCCATAAATTCGTTCATTTTAGACAGTTTATGGCCTTGTTCTTTATTTTCTGTAACTCATCTTACATCATATAATAACTAGAGCTTTCAGCCACCAAAATCTTTGCTTTTTAAAAAATGTGTGGTCTGAAAAAAAATATTTAAAACTAACCCGATAAAAAAATAAAGTTAAACTGTGTAACAAAATTTATTTAAAATATATTGAAACCCCCAAAATCTTAAATAAAAAATTGCTATAAAAAAATTTTTGGAGTTTTTATCTTTTTCCTTCTTTTTTTGGGCCCGAAAACCCTTTTTTTCTTTGTTAGAAAAATTTTTAAAAACCCTTGCATCGGGGGGTTTCCAAAAAAAATTTAACCCCAAAAAACCTTTTTTTCTATTTTTGTAATGATTTTTGACCTTAAACAAAAGGGGAAAGACTAAAAGAAATTTTCTAAAGGGAAATTCTCTTTTTAAAAACCTAAACTATATGTAAAAGTTTGATTACATAATTTTTTTTTCCAAATTTTAATTTATTTCCGGAGAAAATTTTTCAAATTTTTGGGGTTAAAGAGACCAACCAGGGTCTCAACTTAAGGTTGCTATATACCAAGTTTTAATGTAACAATATTTTCTTCCAAACTAAACTTATCGTCCGGAAACCATGAAGGAGACCGACCGACGCACAGACCGACTGACAAGCCTACTCCTATACCGCTTTGTTTGTGGGTTATGATTAAAAATTATTTTTTTATATCATGAACAAAAAGAAAACTGGTTTGTTTTTAGTATGTTTATTGAAGATTATTGGATTGGTTTGAGTGACGACAGTGAGGAAGGAAGTTGGGTCTGGATGTCTTCTCAAACGCCTTTAGCCGCTACATATTATACAAACTGGTTTAGAAACGAACCCAGTCGATTTATAGATGGGGAGCCTGAAAATTGCGTTGAAATGTATACGCACCTTGGAGGTGAATGGCATGACGCTCCTTGCACAAATTTCAAAAATATATTTGCGAAAAGGCTCTTGGGTGAGTATTGTGTATGTGTACGTCTGAATATAAAGATAAGAAATGTGTTTTTCTATTCACATAATAGTTTATCTGTTTCTTTGCAACTCTGATTATATTTATCAGTTACAATGAAATTATTGTTCAAGATGCTTACAAGAGTTTTACTAAGTGTTCATATGCTTCTTAATAATTATGATACTTATTAGAGTAATAATGAATAATTTAATGATAAACTTTTTATAACAATTGTCCGTTTCCTTCGTAACATTAACACAATTATATATGCATACTTAATATCAAACATGCAGGTCACTTACTCAGTTTGAAAAGAGTGTATTCAATTAACTTTAAATATCCTTATTTATATCTTTTGATATGTTAGTTGATATGTTAGTTGATTGAATAATATTCACCGAATTTTATATTTTTCAGAAGTTCCGTAATTATTGGTTAAAAGCAAGCATATCCGAAGTACAAAAGCACAACTAGTTCCACATGTCAACTCATATACTTGTTTCTATATATTTTTGAAAGTCAAACATATATGACTTCATATTGTTTTTGTTCTGCACGCAGTTTGAGATATTAAATTCCAAAATATATTAGCGAAAATAAAACTCTTTATAGCTTAAAAGAGAAAGTCTTACAAAAGGTTCATTTTTTAGAAGAAAATGCATAATGTTGTAGAAAATGTTTAAAAAGTCTGGAATGAACCTATCTATCCGACAATGAAAACATACCAAAAATGATTATGAAAAAACATAGCAGCACACCTTCAAATTTGCGTCAATTTCTATTAAGACTCAGAAAAGATTGTTCCAGTTATTACAATGATATCACCTGAACTTTACAGTGATTTAGACTAGCCGAATGCACTTTCTTTCAACAGATTTATGTTATAGTTTATCAACATAAGCAGAAACTTCTCTTTATCCGTTAGTAACGGCGTAGAATATTGCTTAAGAAAAGTGTGCATTGCTAGTTTGCTGTATTTTGTAAAATCACCCAAAATTTTGGATTGTAAATATGAATACATTTCTTAGTTTAAACATTTTATTTCAGTAAATATACAAATAATATAAATAAGTAATGTACACGATACGAGAATTAAAAAAAAGATTTGGCCCGAGCGCTGACTTTATATTTGCCTACTCCTTGAGAAGAACCTTTCAGAAATATAGAAATAACGGAATATCCAATGTGCGGATTCATTCGGATAGTTCGATGGTATGAAAGGGCAGCAAACTGTTGAAGAGAATAGCCTGCGTTGTCATGTAGATATTGACGGCTTTCATGATATTTGTTGAAAGTGGCTTTATGTTTGTTATGAAGTAGGGGATGAAATATTTTTTACGAGAGATAACCAAAGATTCAGATTTTGATGCATTTATTCAGTGGCCATGAAAGGCGACATAGTGATTCTCTTTCCTGTTGCTTTTTTATTTAAAATAACAATGCACACTTGCGTTGTCCGGTCATTTCTTAGTACAAACTTTGCTCGATGAATGCGACAAATACAGTCATAACACAATGAAGACTTAAAAAAAACCCCAAAAAAACCACAACAATTTGGCCTTCTTACATTTACCAAAACTATCAGCCGTATCAGACACCCTTCTTCGAATTAATTTTTGTGTGTTGAAAACCACTACCGAAAGCAACTTTGCCGGAAAAATCATTTAAAAAAATTTTCTTTTTTTTAAAAAGTCATTTTAACGCCCGTTGTGAATTTGGGAAATTTGGAAAAAAGGTTCCTGATAAAAAAGCGTTTATCTTTTTATTAATGTATTTTTTTTTGCTTATTTTTACCCGTTTTTTAACAGATGTGTTGATCTATTTTTTAGCTGTCGTCCAAAACCCAATTTCCTTGAAAAAACCCAATATAAAATTTTCCAGTAAAAAAGTAAAAACCCAAATTTTCCTAAAAAGGCAAACCGGTACTCATTTAAACTTTGGGTTTCTAAAAATTGAGAAAAAAATTACCAGTGGGTTTTAAATTTCCCCAAAAGTTTTCCCACTACAGAAAAATTTAAATTTTTTAAACCCATAAAAAAGTTTAAAATTGTCTTTATAAAAGCTGCCCCAACTCTTTTTATAATTGAACGTAACAGGTAAATTCCGATGATATTAACAGAAATGACCTTGGGCCACGTGAGTTATTTATCGTTTATTCGAAATAAATAATAAATTTTGAAAAGAATAGTGAAAAAATGTAAACTTATCTTGACATTAATCTGTTCACTTAATAATATACCATTAGGGTGGGGCGTCCGTGGCCCAGTGGTTCAGGTCGTTGACTTCAAACCACTTGCCCCTTACCGCTGTAGGTTTGAATGCCGACAGGGACTTTGAATTCTTTGATTGGATAAAGCTGTCAACGTCGGTTTGTGCAGTCGGCCAGTGTGTGCAGTCTTGCTGGAATTGTGCCCATTATGGCGGAATGTGTTTGCAGTCTTGCTGGAAGTGTGTCCATTATGGCGGAATGTGTGTGCAGTCTTGCTGGAAGTGTGTCCATTATGGCGGAATGTGTGTGCAGTCTTACTGGAAGTGTGTCCATTATAGCGGAATGTGTGTGCGCAGTCTTGCTTGAAATACGCCCACTCTGGTGGAATGTGTGTGCAGTCTTGCTGGAAGTGTGTCCATTATGGCGGAATGTGTGTGAAGTCTTGCTGGAAGTGTGCCCATTCTGACGGAATGTGTATGCAGTCTTTCTGGAAGTGTGTCATTATGGCGGAATGTGTGTGCAGTCTTGCTGGAAGTGTGCCCATTCTTGCGGAATGTGTGTTTAGTCTTGCTGGAAGAGTGCCCATTCTTGTCGGATGTGTATGAAGTCTTGTTTGGAGTGTGCCCATTCTGGCGGAATGTGTGTGCAGTCTTGCTGGAAGTGTGTCCATTTTGGCGGAATGTGTGTGCAGTCTTGCTAGAAGTGTGCCCATTCTTGCGGAATGTGTGTTCAGACTTGCTGGAAGAGTGCCTATTCTGGTCGGATGTGTATGCAGTCTTGCTGGAAGTGTGCTCATTCTGGAGGAATGTGTTTGCAGTCTTGCTGGAAGTGTGTCCATTATGGTGGAATGTGTGTGCAGTCATGCTGGAAGTGTGTCCATTTTGGCGGAATGTGTGTGCAGTCTTGCTGGAAGTGTGCAAATTCTTGCGGAATGTGTATTTAGTCTTGCTGGAAGAGTGCCCATTCTGGTCGGATGTGTATGAAGTCTTGCTGGAAGTGTGCCCATTCTGGCGGAATGTGTGTGCAGTCTTGCTGGAAATGTACCAACTCTGGCGGAATGTGTGTTCAGTCTTGCTTGAAATGTGCCCATTCTGGCTGGATGTGTATGAAGTCTTGCTGGAAGTGTGCCCATTCTTGCCGGATGTGTGTGCAGTCATGCTGGAAGTGTACGCACTCTGGCGGAATGTGTGTTCAGTCTAGCTGGAAATGTGCCCATTCTGGCCGGATGTGCATGCATTCTGACGTGGCTCTTTATTGGTGGAAAAGAGTAATCACTATCCAGCTTTTTTATTGTTTAAAAAAATTGAAATTACTCGAATAGCTTTGTCTTTATAAAGGCCAAGGCGATTTTATGAGTCTATCCGGATTAAAGTGAAAAAGTAAGACTAAAACACGTGTTTGAGCACCACACTAAATACCGTATTCCGGTATATCTTGAATGATTGAATGCTTAAAACTCGCATTTTCATCCACCGAAATACACTTTAAAACTCTTTAGTCCATTTTTTCACAACAATTAATTTTTTTTAATTGATAAAATCGACGAAAAAAGTGATATTTTTCTACCTTGTGCTCATGATTACTGCAAGCGTCTTCCAACATTGTGTTGTGAGTTAAATCGTGCTTTAAAATCTATTACGTGTATTCGGTATTTAATGACGTTTTTTCTAGCTTCAAAGAAATGTAAACTTTGTAATTAAATAATACAATCATGTACTTTCAAAATGTGATATGAATGGAATGTTCTACTAGTCAACAATACTTTCCACACCAGGTATAAGGCGATTCTTATTTTTATTTATTCTATTCATTTTCTTTTTTTGGGTCTTCCCATATACTTCTCTTGATTTCTATGTGTCATGTTATCGCAAAAAGAAATACAAAATAATAATCTATTACGTTGGTACCGACTAAACTGTTGCAAAAGTCATAATTTTCCAAAAACAAATTCTTACTATAAACAAATACAGAACAATTGTAACAGTTAATACATTAATTTATTTTTTATTTTTTGTCTAACATATAAAAAGTCCTAAAACATACAAACATTTTATATATATGTAAATTTAATTTATATATGATTTAATGGTGAGTTAAATTTATCAGCCTTTTATATTTTTCTCGTTTTATAGATATTTATCACCATAGTCCTGAATCACATCTGTCTCTCGTTAAAACAAATCAACTTTATTAACTCTTAATACATTGAAAGTGACATTTTGAAAAAGGAGGTTTGAACAATCTCCGAGATAAGATAACATTGAGAATTTAAGTCCGAGGTTAAAAGATTGTTCAATCTTGAAAACTTGTAAATTTAAAATTGTGAAATTGGGGTTTTAGTGGGTAAAAATTTGGGGCATTTTTTTTGTAAATTTCTTGGGGGTTGACTAGGGAAACGCCAATTTTTTCAGGTTTCACTGGAATAGGGACAACTATTTTTGGTTTATTCATATTATCCGAAGTTGTTCGTCCGTGTACCAGTCCAGCTTTTACTCTTTTCCATTTCGCTCTCCTATTTTGAAACCAAATTTTTACCTGAACTTCACTTAATTTAAGCGCATGCGCAATCTGAGAACGTTCAGTTAAAGATAAATACTTTTTACTGTGGAATTCCTTTTCTAGTTCTAAGAGTTGTTCAGAAGTAAAAGCCGTTCTACGCCGTCTGGTTTTCCCAGACGGAAGCGTTACTTTTCCGGCATCTTCAGTGTCACTTGTGAGTTTTGATTTGAGCCGATTACTGTTTGAATTTTCATTGTCCTCTTCTTCGTCGTCTGACCTTGTGATGTCTCTATCATCTTCATTAGTCGTGTCTAGCATTGTATCTTCTGAAAATAAAACGAATATAGTTGGTGTTCACCTGACAGCAATATTGTATATAATAGAATCTTTTATTTAGAAATTGGCTCTCAAAAGAGTCATATACAAACTTTCATAATAATATGCAGTTACATATGTGTGCATAGCAGGATGACGTGATAGCAATAATGTTGACATCAGCCGTCATAGTGGATTGGTCTACAATGGGCACATTTTCTATAAGTATTTAAAATATTTATAACAAATGATAGAAATGTATCATTTGGATATTCTTGTAAAACATTTCTTGAAAACAAGCTAATAATGTTCTAAGTGATTTAGTATGAACATTTATATCATGAATAATGGCATTCTGTTCTAGAACAATTTATTAACTGTTATATAAAGATATGTAATATCGGATCATCTATCTAACACTTACATAAAATACAACAATAAAAACATCCATACTCGTATCTTTCTTTCATGGTTTGGTATCACGTATACTAAAAAACTATCAATACCATTATTTATGGTATCACAAACCTATAGACCAATGCACTTTAAAAACCGAAACAATTTCCTCATCTAAATCAAGTGTTAACATCTTATCAAAATTGAATTTCATGTAACTATATCTATGACAAATCCTATTTGTAGCCTTTTCAAAAACATGTTTTGATAATTTTTGCGGTGAACTGTAAATGAAATAATATAGAAATTTCCCAAGTTGTTAAAATTAAAAACACTTATACATAGAGCCACCACGAATTGACATATAGTGGTTATGTTTTTTCCTGTTTGGGTTATTTTGTATTGATATATGATTACCATGTGCGCAAGTGTCACATAAAGTGAGCATTTTCAAAAATCACCTTTGTTTGTTGAAATATATTGTTGGAAATAAAATACAATGTATGTAACAATCATTATCTAGTTTATTTTCATACTGAGCTAGTCTGTACATCATCATCAGCATCATCATCATTATTTTTATAATTATTATAATTATTATTATTATTAATAATATTATTATTATTAATGCAATTGCATTTTAAAATGCACTTTTCATTACGAGTTCATATCATAATTCTATTTATTTCGTCTTTGCAAAATGCAAATCATATGTTATTCATAGAATTAAGTTTTGAACAAATAAAACTTTGTTGTTATCAATATAATTAATGTTTTGCGTTTGTCTCATTGGTAACCGTTGATACTTAATTACTTCTCAGGGCATCGACTGTATCAAAAACGTCTGCACAGCTTCGTTCTTCCTAAGATTCGGATTGCATTGCCCCTCCTGCTGATGTAATTACCATATCGCTAACTGATTATTACTATTCTACACACCGAAATAGATCTATTAACATGGGAGGAGGCTAAAATGACCAAAAATTGAGTGATGACCATTTGCAGCTGAATTGTTATTGCAGATTAATGACATATTAGACACGACCCGATGGCAGACGAACTATGAAAACCATTTAACGCTTAGTTGCTTGATTTTTGGTGTCAAGAGTCTTGGTTTCTTTTTCTGTCAGTGATACAACTTGGTTTGATTAAAATCATTATTATTGAAAGAAAAGGGTTTATTATTTTTCCTACAAGTTGTCAGCGGAGAAGTTGATGCTATCATGATTTCATGTGTTTAAAAGAAACCACAAAAATAACTAGCTAAAATGAATATTTAAAGCAATATTACATGTATTTACTAATTAAGAACACTACAGGTCGTCAATATTTGTTGTGTATAATAAATTTTATGAATATGCCTCACTTTTTACATTTCTCTGTCTTTTTTGGTGTGCAACTGTTATATCTTATTGTGAATAAAAAAACTAAATGAAAAGTTTATTTGATATTCACCTATTATTTAATCTGATAGCTTCTGAGCTATGTTTCTGACCTGTGTCAATCCTTAAATGATCTGCTCTGCTCTTTTTTTTTTAATAATACCTGCTATTACATTGCATTTTGTTTAGCAACGCTCGTTTTGGTTTTTATGTTGACTTTTTTTTAAAGTAATGTATCAATTTGATTTCTCAGTAATAATTTTTGTATAACAATAAAATGTATGAAGATTTTATTGTATGATTATTATTCTGTGCAATGCTCTATTTATTTTTTTCGGTTCACTTGATTTTCTAAAAAAAAGGTTGGGTTTCTGTAAGGTCAATTGTAATAATAATAATAATGATAATAATAATAATAATAATAATAATAATAATAATAATAATAATAATAACAACAACAACAACTATGGTAATTATAATATAAATAATAATAATATGGTAATGGTGATAATGATGATGATGATGATGATGATGATGAAAGTCAACTTTGTACAGGTAACGACATGAGAATAATTTAAATTTTTATATCAAGCTAGAAACATGTAACAATGAACGCTATTTGTTACCATTTGCCAAAACGAACAGAGACAGTGATAATCAATAAAGTAAACTAATATAAGGTCTCACAAATTCGTTTATTATCCTATGTTTAAATATTACTAAAACAGTTTAAGGTTTGATCCACCTAATGCATTACCTCCACTTTGAAGAATATTCAAATAGGCTAGAACTAGTGTTAACTGCATTGGAACTGAGGTGCGCGGGTTCAAGCCCCAGAAGAGGCGACTTTTTTCTTTCTTTTTTTTTCTTTGAGCATTATTAAAAAAAATTTGTATCTCTCAGATCACTCTTCAGAAGAAAAAAGTGTTTAATTATGAAATTATTATTGGTATTTATTGGCTAAATTGTGTTAAATATGTTATCAAATATGGTACCTGATATTTTCAAAGTCTAATGAAATAAAAACTAGACGGTAAAAGTAGTTTATGTTTGACAAGGGCAACCAAAATACTTTTAAGAAAATTGATGAACAATTACTTTAAATAATATTCAATATTGTAAATTTTAGAGATATTTAATATACTTTCAGTAAAAACGATCAAAACAAATTAAAAGTCGGGTTTGGGCGTTTATATCAGTTTAAAAATACATATTTCAAACATTAGTAGAAACATAATTTTTGATTCATTGTTATAATTATTATTTTTTTCTTAATAATGTTATATAGAAAAAGCTGAAGCTTATTAAACGAAACAAATAAACTGTAAATATATTTTTGAGGACAGGCCTCCTGCTGAATAATATGTAAACTTGTATTAATGGTCCTCTGGGCCAATTTACCTTATAGACAGAGCGACTGATATATATCTATCGTATATTTATTCTATAATAAAATCTTTTTGTCAGATTTCAGATAATGCAGTACCTTGTTTCATAGATATAGAAGTAAATTTCAATTTAGAACATTTATTTAACCAAAATGGGGCATAACTTTTATAACTTTTAAAGTCTATTATGCTTGTTTTTGACATTAATTAAATTTAAAGTTTCTAGTTAATATCTTATCAAATGGTTTCAGAATAATTGTAAATTTCTCAACATCGAATTCTATGTGAAAAATCTATGTTTTAGTTGTTAAACAGTTTTCAAGTATATCACTATAATGTTAAAATGCAATAGAGTAGTAAAATTTGGTTGAATGAATTTCCAATTACTTCTCAAATATATATTCAATATCTGTACCAATTTTAGAGATATTCAAAGTACATATAGTTTTCAGGATAATCTCTAATGCGCATTTCTTAAAATACAAAATTAAAAGTTTCGAGATCAGTTTTACGTAGATTGCTCTTGACCCTTTATTGTGCAATGTTTCAAATAATGCCATAGCTGATTAATTAATTTAAGTATTTAAGACTTAGCCTTCTGGCGACATCAAACTATTCAACCAATGCGACCAGCACAGACCAAGAGAGCCGACTGATCATGGTCTGCACTGCTCGCTATTCAGTCATTATAATTTGAAAATTTCCCTAAGATAATGAATTATTTCGTCCAGGCTTAAAGATGAACAAGTCCATATAAGGTATTTAGCGTAAGGGTTAAAGACTACGAGTTACAACTTGTGACCATTTTATCGTTAATAATTATAAATAGATACATCGTTTACTGGGTAATTTATTTTGTACTTTTGAAAATAAAACTATTATTGTCATTTCTGTGGAAAATGGCGTTGAAGAAATTCAAATTATGCTATTTACTTCCTGAATTCATTATCAGATAATGTTGGTTTTGAAATAGTGAGTAGCTTCTTTAATCTAAGTGCAAATAATCGGCTGTAACTGTGCTATATTCTCAAATTAATTGTTTTATTTTTTCCCAAAATAATGCATATATCAACTTTTATTAAATTATATGCGGCAATGATTGAAATACACTTGCTTTATATATAAAAACAAGAACAAAAAGTAAACTGACAATTATTCACAATAAGCAAAACGGTTTCAAAACTGTTTCAAACAGTATTTTTTTTCTAAAATATTTATATATAAATTAATGTTGACGCTAAAAAATCGATTCCTTGGACATTTTGTTCAGTTATTCTTTCTCGTAATTTTGAAACATAATAATGTTGAAAGGAAACACTTAGTTCTAATACGCAACATATTTTGTTCAGAATTAAATGTTTATTTGATATTTCTTTGAAATCTTAAGAGTTTTAGTTTACTGATTTATCGTGCAACCGGTTTTTTACTTAAATATCTTCATCGGTACAAATGGTTTACCATACAAAAAAGCTGTTCTTAGAAATAAATCTAATTATTTATATATCTTGGTACATCCGTGACTACATTGTGATGATTTTTTTTATAAAATCCTTTACACTTGTCATATCATTGTTTTAGATACATGTATAAAATATAAATTTAACAAATATTAAGACTGATGTTGATCAATTTTCCGTGCTTCTTTTAGGTACTGAATTTAAACATGCTTGTTCGTTCTGTTTCAATTAAATATATAATAATAATATTTATATCCTAATCATCCAACGTTCGGCTCCCCCGTAATTTTGACACTTTTTTTTCTTAAAGGCACATTATTCCTCAGAAACATTTTTTCCTTCTTTAGGAATGTTTAAACTTTGGTGCATGTAAGATGTTCATTGCCTGAGAGAAAGTTGCGCCGAATGTGAAATTATTTGTTATAAAAGTATCAAAAATTGTTAAGAAGCAACAAATGCAAAATGTGTTTCAGGTAGTACTTTATGGAAACTTTAACAGGACATACAGTATAAAAAAACTTTTGAGAAATAAAAATAAAAGCATTTCTGGGGCATAATTGCCCTGCAATTTATTCATTGTCTAATTATTTACAATTTCAAACTATTGTAAAAGAAATCTAAACCATATGAAATAGTTGAACGTTTCTAAAATTCACGATGGCCATTACACAACGAGAAGAACGTTATCAAAAAAGTCATTGACTGTCCGGTCATGTCAATGAAAGATAAATTAGAATAGAAATTTACCATTACGAATCTTTACAGAAGATTGTATACTAAAAAACTTGAAACAATAATAACTCAATGCAAAAATCTTACACAAAATGTGCCATGAGTCTTTGCTATAAACATGATAGAAAGAAATGAAAACTTTACAAAACAGTCGAGCTTTTAATACATGCATTTAAAATATTAACTTGTACATTGAGTCCTTACATACAATTATTAATTTCCATATTTAAATTTTGTGCGTAAATTGGCATAATATTCTTCAAGTGAATTAACAGCAATTAATATCAACTTAGTACTGCATATAAATGCATGTTACAAATTGATGAGAAAAAATAAAACAACAACAAAATCTTGTAACATATACATAGCCTTTCTGAAGTTGATGTCCTCATTTATTTCATGTTATTTTGTAGTATATTAGTATATGGTATTTATTGTATTAAATACTCCGTTATTTATTTTTTTGTATACTTTTTGCTTATCAGATAATTTCTGATTAAATCATGAACAAAACTTTCGGCCTTAAATGCTTCTAGAAACACAGAACAGAAGAGAATATTTATTTCTTTTTTTTTCGAACTTGAGCATAGGTCCTCGTCCGCGAAAATAAATGCTTCTAGAAACACACAGATTGTTATTTTGCGCAATGTAGTATCTGTTTGTATATGTATAAATGTCATTCTTTAATGGCCATTCAATTTTTAATGGTTATAATTATATTTTTCATGTCTCAAAAGCTGTTACATGATACAGTTTCCAACAAAATGTTGCTTATTGTCCTTATAGCCTTTGCTTCCTTTGCGTTTTAGTAGGGCCATTTCAACTTCACAAATTCCCGATTTCAACTTCAAGAATTCACGATTTCAACTTCATGACCGACTATGTAAACTTCATGAATTCACGATTTCAACATGAAGATGAAATCGTGAATTCATAAACTTTAAGTTGAAATCGGGAATTCATGAAGTTGAAATGTCCCCACCGTTTGTTGGTAGTTTCTAGCTTGTTATATGTGAATGTGACAATGACAATACGTTGGTCTCAAACATAGCTGATTAATTAAGATAATTTTGTGTATTGGCAATAAGTAAATTATTTAAAATGGTAAATGGTCCCTGTTATGTGCAGAAAAGTAACATGTTTATAAATAATCTTTTAATATACATGCATATTTGTTTGTGGAAAATCTAAACCACGTGGGTGACGGATGTTTATGAACGATTTATTAATATAATTTATAGCAAATACATCGGATTGAAATACTACGCCCGTTAAGCAGTAATGAACTCTACAAGCAAAGCAACCAACAAGAAATAATCCCGCTCCGCTCCAGGAAACACCAAATCTTGAGTTGACACATTTTACTATAAATACATTCTTAAGCTTGATACTCGCATTTTATGATACATACATGTAGATATCAAACGTTTGAACAGACGACATTTTTTGTATCATCCGATTCTTCTAACTGACTCTGATTATCATGTATAATATTTGCTTGATTAAAGATGAACTTGTCTAAATACGATATATATTGGTAAGTTAAGTCATTTAAAGAATATCCATTTATTTATCTACTATTATTAAAAAAATATAATCGTATATACACTTTATTATTTTCTATAAGAAACAAAATTGCATTTGTAATTTTATTATAGTATACCACAATGTTTTGAAATTCCAATGACATGCAAAAATCCTGTTATTTAGCAGAATTTTATTTTTGTTGAAAATGTCAACAACATTTGACACATGTTAAAGCTATTTCGTTATTCCATCTATTTTCTTTGAAAGCCCCAGTTTGATAACATTTAAAAAAATTAGTTTATTTCAAGTTGTATATATGTTTTGAAGTACGATGCTATTTTAGCAACATGCATTACAAAACCCGTTCTGAGTTTATATCTATAAATAACACTAACAAACAAGCAACCAAGAAAACATGAAACCAAGAAACAAGAAAAAAAACCGGCTTATACGGCGTAATATATTTTGCAAAAAGATAGAATTCGGATAGTTACATGCCTGAAAAGATGTTTTTATGTACATTGTAAATGAACTTATTTAAATATTTAAGATTGTGTTAATTTAGACTAAATTATTTTGTTGTAAAAGTGACTCAGACACTCATGATTTCTTTTCCGATGTAAAATTATAAATCTTGGTTTGGTTTGTTAATACGTATAAAGAATTCAACGATAAATAAACTATGACATTTATGTAAGAATATTTTGTGTTTAAACCTAATCAACTATACACATTTAAAACATTCAGATATTTAGAAAATATTGTATATTACCATAGAAAACATATAAATGCCTTATCATGAACAGGGTCAGGGCAAATCAATTACATATGTCTTATTAGCAGTTATATTTAAACAATACGTCTTTCTTCCGTATTGCATAGTTGTGAATTCTTAGGAGTATATTTAAGGTCTTCTATCGTAATTTATTATCAAACTTAAATGTTTTCGATAGAATAAACTGTAAGCAAATAACCATCATATTGAGTTTAGGCGGATGTAAAATTGATAAAAAGGAGTGTATTAGATATGATATCAAAATAATAAACCCAAGTTTAAATTGTTAGATATTTTACTCTTGATTCTGGTTTTTAATTGGTTACATTCATTTATGCTTTATATCATGACATGCGCATTTGACGTCGTCATATTCTGTTAAAGATCAATTGTGCCCGGCGAAATAGTTAACAGTCACTTTTTATAATCAAATGAAAAACATGCATACTTAAGAAATAATCATGAAATAATCGTTATAGTAAAAGTTATTTGTATTAAAATTTATTATAATTTTCTTAATATATCGTATGTGATCGTATGTTACAAAACAATAACATTTTTGTTACATCAGTATATTAAATTTCAGCTTACTTAGTTTCAGAAAGAAGCGACTGTTTAAATTAACTTTCGATTATCATACCTGCTATTGAATTGTCACTCATGACGTCATCATTGTCATTTTCGTCTTGCATTGCGAGCTCGTCTTCTTTTTGGCAATTTGCTGCCACTCGTAAATCTTTCGGATGTGAATCATCCCCTTCATCGTTGTCGTCGGACACAACTTCAGTCGGACTCTCTCGGGCCATTTTCTTTGGTTTATTCATAAAGTCATTGAATGTTGAAAGTGGAATGTCTGCCCGTCCGTAATTTCCCATTACGGAACCACTAAATGCACTATGATAATGTCCTGGATATGTCGTACGTGAACCCAAAGGAAAACCATAGGACGCTTGTGCGTACGGAAGTACCGTCGAGCTCACCGGTGGCATGAACACGTAGCCACTGTTATACATCATCGAACCATATCTAGATGTAAACGGTGATGATATCAGTGAATCTATAGAAAACGAATTAGACCCTCTGTGATTCATTGTGTTTTAATAGCGAAAATAGCACTTTAATAAATCCAAATTTATATACCACATAGCCACGACGTTTATAAGTTGCTAAATATAAGTCAGTTACATCTAATTGCCGCAATTTGTTTCACTGGTTATATGGAGATGTGTACGTACAATTTCCTTGACAAAAAGGAATTTCGGAAGTTCTGTTATTCGACTGTTTCTTAGATATCTATAAATTAGCACTATATTTTTGCAACGACTTAAACAAACATATTCGTCATGCACAGCTTCTATGCAAGGCTATCGCATTACAAACAAACGCGTGGAGTGAGCGAATTGTAAAAATCGCTTGTTGGTAGAATGTTAGTGTAAACAAAGTGATCATTCCTACCATCAACTTACATAGGGTGGTACTTAATGAAACTGATCCTTCTTTTACTGCTTGCTATTTAACTCATTGATTCGTAACTGTCAAGTCGTTTTTGAGTGACACACGCCAATGTTCACAACGCGCTTTACTATTGGCTGTCAGAAAGCAATTGACTTCTCTTCGCCCGAGGTCGGTGCGCAGCGCGAGGCACTGTGGGTAGTGATGGGACGAGATTGGCTGAATTTTAATTGAATCATTAGAACTAAAAAGATGCATTGAACTGTATATAATTGAGATTAATTCACGCCAAATCATCCAGCTTAAAAGAAAACAAGTGGCAATGAATTAAATCTAGAATACTGCAACGGAAATTGAATGAAACCTGTCCACGTCTCGATATTAACAATAGTGTATTACGTCTGACAAAAGGCCACTTTAATTACGGTGCGGGTAATATTTGAAACACTGCCATTCTTTGCAATATCATTCGGAGGCAAGCGTCTGTCAACGGTCAGAGGTATTACGAAATTTTAAAATATCAGCATTTGTATAATATTGAATAAAATCAGCAGGGTATAAGGTGGTTTCTTAATTGATATAATTGATCACTGTTATAGTTAATAATTTTTATTCTTTTTTAAATTTATGAAGTGATGTACATTTCTAAATGTTTGTAAAGCTATTTTTCATTCTGTTATCTTTCACTTTATATACTTAAGTGAACTTGTTGTAATAACGACTGAAACAGCGCTGAAAATATGGAATTGAAAGAATAAAAATTGAAAAAAAACAACAAAAAAACAAAACCAAAAAAAAACCAACAACAAAACAAACAAACACAACAAAACAAAAAAAAAACATGCCAAATTATAATTTCTTTTAAGAATAAGTTGTGTTCATAAAGCTTACACTATGTATAAAAGAAGCCTCTATATTATTTCATTTTTATTTTTGTTGTTTTTATTTTTTTATTTTTTAAGTTAGAATTGCATCAGAAACATTAGATAAAGAAAATGACCCTTACTGCTGTTGTTTTTCTTTAAGATTGAATAATTATTAAGTCAATCATTTATTTATTCATAAATTACAATCTATCAAGACTTTAAAAAATGTCACGGAAATGGTTCAAAATTAATATAATTTTTTTACAGTAAATAAAATGTTTTGTTAATTGTTTTAATGATTTTTATTGGAAAGTACAACACTAAAGGAGTTAACGATTTACTAAGAAAGGTTCAAAAGTTTTACACTATAAAATATTGACAGATCAAAGAAGGAATTTACTATTTAAAGCTGCATGCCTCCATAATTATGATCCAAACTATAACAAGAAAAAAAAGTTTGAGAGATATATGCTAAGATTTTGCTGTATTTATCGCGTGACTATCGCGTGACTATCGCAGTGAGGTTTGTATTTTTGCATATTTTGACCTCTTTTTTGTATTTTAAGCGGATTTGTAAGTGTCATTTGCAATAATATTATGTAAAAAAGCCTTGCTCACTTTACAATAATTTTTAACGTTGAAATACATTTTCAAAATTTTTAATGAAAAATAGCATGAATCGGGAGGCATTGTACTTTGGTAAATCATTACACATCGTAAATTAATGATGGTTTATCATCATGCCCAAGTATATATATTACAACAAGAAAACAACTAGAATTATCTTGATGAATACGCATTTTTTTTAACAAGTATGCTATTTGTCACCGAGATGAATTGAACATGTTTTGTGGCTACAAAAATGTTCTTGTTGATATAAATGATGTTCACTCTTGTTTTGGAATTAGATGTTTTTGCAAAAACTTCAAATCTTTCAACAACTTAGCTTTCACTTTAATTAATTTCTTTGCGATATCTTTTTAACTGCTAGAAATAAAAACAAAGCATCGTATGCTGTCAAACTAAAGCACTTTGAAATATTTCACAAACAGGTGGGTAAAATATTTTAGTCAATTAGGAGAATAAATTGTCAATTTACAAATTGTAAATTATGACAGTTAAGTGGTCAGATTTTAAGTCCCGATCAATCACAGAAAAAATTGAAATAGATATGACAAATATAAACGAAGCTTTAAGATAAGAGAAAAATGAAATTTTGATAAATTATTCAAATTTTACGATATTTAAATTTTTACTAATTCGGTGTACAATAAATTCATTTTGACACCACTGTATAAACGGGACTACAAGGATTATGATGTGCACGAATTTAGTCAGTGGTGTCATCCAACACAGTCGGGAGCAAGTGTTATAGTGGGCTAAGCGGTACTTGACGCTTATCTACCCGTCAAATAAACAGACAAACGGTTTCAAGTGCTTCTAAATTATGTTGTTCACTTGACACCGTGAGGGTTCAAATCAGCGGTCCGGATAATTGACGTGAGGACGGCATTTAACACGCTCTTCACACCCAATAGAATGCAAACATATCAATCACATTTCAGCACTTTTTCAAATATTAACCCACTACTTAAAGGACGGCTTACAAGGAAGCGGAATTTGAAAATATTTGCCACATGTAAAGCGTGACCTTTCCTTACCTCAGATGACACGGAGAGAGTTTTCATGAATAATGAAAAAAAAAATAACTAAATAAATTAATTAATTAATAAAAGTAAATAAATAAAAAGAAAATTGACGCACAAGAAAATTCAAGGTCTAAAAGATTCCCATGTTTTTAAAATTACAAGGCATAAACCTCGCAGGAACAAACGTTTTTCATTGTTTTGAATAACGTTATATTCTTATCATGAAAAACATCATATCTAACTTTATAGTGACATCTTACTGTTTCAATTTTTTTTATTTGAGCTTCACTGTGATAAGTATTGTTGTCGTTATTTTCAACCATATATATAGCTTTTAAAAAATGAAACATTTTAAGTGCTGGCATACGACAAAGTAAATGTTAAAAAACTATTTCCATAAAAGCATAAAGTCAAATAAACGAATGTCATTAAAGTGAGCTATGATTAAATAATTCATCGACGTTTTCTCTAAATTGTTACATATAGCACAACAAATACAAAAACTAAAATAAAAAAGACTGTACCACTCTTTTTAAAAGATTGAAATCTACTGATAACATTCTAAACAGTATTTATAAAAAATTCAGTGGATCACGAGGATTATTGACTGTTTTTGCATAGTAAAATATAAAACATAACACAATTATGTCTATATCAAAATACACTTGGATGTGCATAATGTCACTTTTATAATTACAAATGAATAATTCATGCAATAAATGATTACACTGCGTGATATCGTCAAATTTCGGCGCATCGTTACAAATCAAAACAATGCAGAAAATTGTGTTTCATAGTTGACAATCTAGTCATCTCTGTTTTACCCTCTCTCCTTTCTCAAGATAATACATTCATTGTGCTTTTTTTCTCCGTATAAGGGATCAAAATCTTAGTAAGTATCCAGTAATAATAGCAAAAGCCCTTGAGAACGTCACTTGATTAAAGCAAACACTTGACAATTACGGATATGTCCGCCGAATATTATATATAATATTGTTTTGTTCCTAAATTGATTCATAATTGAAAAATCATTACACACAAGTACCTTTCAAAACAGTGCTTATAGCCGTTTTTTGATAATTATTTTATCAACCTTTCTCAGATGGGTATTATTTGCTTAATTATTCAACAACACTCAGTATTAATATAAGTGTTAAGTGTTTTAGACTGCATTAATGAGGGGTTTATTTAGGAGATTGTCCGCTGATTACTTCAGATAGCCCCTTAGGACAACCATCATCAATGGGTATCATTATGTTAAATCTTTGTCTGTCTTTGTTTTAGCTTTTTTTGCATTTTTTCTTCACCATAAGTGCCCGGTAGCAGGATTGATATCAAAGCAATTAAGTATCCAAATTGCCAGCATCCGACACCACTCTACAAGCCTACATACTTCACATAGCTGATGTTTGGTGTTTATGTTTGAAGCAAGTAGACCACAAAGAACGACCTTAAATACACTTTTCGTGACATAATGTAACGATAGATAAGTTTATCTTATATCTTTATATATTTTGTTTTTTGTGTGAAGTATTCATTTATAAATATGCTTGTATTTCCGATACCATCTGTATCAAAAGTAAATAAAAACCCTACAATCTTTATCATGAGAAAATTGCCTCACAATGATATAATTTCAACGTTTAAATCAAATAACTTACTTGACCTCTCAGTTAAAATATCTACGTTAAAGGGACTCCACTGAGGGTTTTTGACACAAAGTGGCTGGAAATATTTTTCCAACATTTATGTTCAATTTGATGGTTGTAGATCTGGATCAATAACTTTTGTGCAAATGTTTCAGATTATTCCCTTACCTCGTATTTCTATAATAAAATTTTTCATTGTGCAAAATGACCCAAAAATGAAAAGCGTTTCACTCAAATCGGGCTAAGAATCGCTCAAAAAATCGATATTCAAATTAGTTCTGAGTATATGTCTTTATTATTCGTTGCAGATTGCCTCTTTGAATCTAAGTAAGAATTACAAATTTTATGATCTTAGGCTTTTTTACTTTAGTTGAGCATCTATTAATGCATCAACAAGGCACTGACATGTATCCGAATGATATACTACTGTTTTGTATTCGAATGATATATTGTTTGTACTGGAATGATATTGTTTTGTTTTAGAATGATATTGTTATCTTTACGAATTATATATACGAATAATGTTCTGTTTTGTATTTGAATGATATATTGTTTTCTATACGAATGATATACTGTTTCGTATTCGAATGATATACTGTGTGTACTGGAATGATGGTCTGTTTTTGTTTTTGAATGACAATGTTTTGTATGCAAATGATATACTGTTTTATGTACGAATAATGTTCTGTTTTGTATTTGAATGAATTACTGTTTTGTATTCAGATCATACTGTTTTGTATGCAAATGATATACAGTTTAGTATGCGAAAGACATACTGCTTAAAATTTGATGTATACTGTTTTGTTTTGGAATGATGTACTATTTTGTTTTGGAATAATGTACTGTTTTGTTTAGGAATAATCTATTGTTTTGTTTTG